TCAGGTCACATAGTTAACTGGTATGCCATTCAGCTACTTGAACGGAGTCCACTCTATGTTCTGCCAATACGCAGTCCATAATGTGACTCCTGGTCAGTTTCATCGACGAGTATATATCCTCGCCGTTCATGTCGTCCCTGTTTTTCAACGGTTCTCAAAACGAAATCAATTTCTCACCAAACTTGAAATATTTCATCTTAATTTAGAATTAGTAATCATAGTTACACGACAAATTGAATAAAAGAATCTTTGTATGGTATCCAATGGTAACAATAATTATAATAATAATGATAATAATAATAATGCCATTTATCTAGCGTGATGGAATTCACTTGTTTACAATGCAACGAATCCAATGGATCATAAGAAAAAGGCGTAAACAACGAAGAAGAAAATTTTTCCTTTTTGACGATTCATTACCATATGGTGCATATGGAGCTGAGTAAATCGGCCGTACCATGCGCCGACTTGGAAAACGCGCTCGCGAACACTACCCAGCCTGGCTAGTAAAAGGAGACCGAAAACGTGTATACAGTTCAGTGACAGAACATTTGGTCAACTCAGGACATTCAGCGCCTTTCGAAAAATCCTTCAAAGTAATATACAAAATTCAATCAAACCTATCAAAGGGAGTCAAATCAAGACATCTGGGCATAGCTGAGGCGCTAGCTATCCAAAAGCTCAAACCCACACTTTGTATCCAAAAGAATTACGTCCAACCCCTCTCCCTACCATGGCCATCATAAATAGGTAAAATTTTTTAGTAATGACAATCTCATCGCCTTCCTTATCTAAACTTCCTGTTTATTCATGTTATTTTAAGTTTTCTTAATCCCTGTTTACACTAACATATTTTCATACCCACTCTTCCTGTTTATTTTGTCATTTTACTATCTCTACATATCTAATCCCTGATTGCATAAACAATTATTCATCATATTAGTTTTTTATCCAAATATCCTGTATATTTTATTATTTCTACATTTCTAACCCCCAATTGCACAATGTCAATCTTCTTAGTTATTATGCTAGTTTGTTTGAGTTTTACCCATCCCCCTGTTTATTATGGCATTCTAATTCCTAATTGTAATTTTTTATTAATTTGACCCTTAACCGGAAATTATTCTGGAACTTTCCCATCCATTTGATATAAATATACGAATGTACAGCCTAGATGATGACTTCGTCGGAAAGAAAATTTTCTTCGCTGCAATTGTCTTTTTAATAATACTGAACTGACATTAGCTATTCGAGCCAATATATCTACCTAAGCCCTTCGAACTTGCGAAAAATGGTGTCACATCCCACTGTATTTACCAATTTGAATGTACGTGTGGACACACATACATATGGAGGACTCATCGATCTCTGCAAGTAAGGGCTGGCTTCAGAGCATATTCCTAAATGGCTCCAGAAACAAATGGAATCTTCAGAACCCATTAATGGGGAGAACAGGAGACCTAGCTCCTCTATTGCGAAACATATTATAGAGACAGGACATAAAATTGACGTTAACGCATCTTTTAAACCTATCTATAAAACGTGTTTTGGGCGTATCCTAAAGTTTGTGGAAGCCCTAGCTGGCAATTAGAAAGTTTAAACCAAATTTATGCTTTCAAAAACAATTCGACATCACACTAAAACCTTTCTTGGTAAATTTTGTTTTGATACCGTAGCAGATGTACTATTTCCTCTGCTATTTGGTTTAGTGGTCTTCATTGTTATTTTGCCCTTCAGTATGTCCTTTTAACTTGACCGAAGTCTATATTTTCTCACCTCTTAACTCTTTATTAATTTCATATATGTATTCCTATGAGAAGTCCGCGTGTGTGTGATCAGATTGTTCGAAATGTGTTGCACAAATACATCACACGATTCAGACATATTATTGTATTAATGAAAACAAAACACGTAGATCAGCGAAGAGTCTCTTTTCGGCGAATTCATCTTCTTAGCTGTACAATCGCAAATATATATGCATTGTTTTGTTTGTATGTGTACATTAAGTTTGTCAAACAAAGTTACAGTTGGTTAAGGTTAATTTTAACTAAACAAGTGGAGGTTGGTAATACAGGTCAAGAAAACTAGGGTAGTAACAAAGGTGATGAGTTGTCAGAAGCAGTTGTAATAATAGTGAGTTTTACTCAGGATGCACATAGAAACAAAGTAGAAATTATGTAAGAGATCTAAGTGGATACAAGAATTACAATTGCTTAAGGTTATTTTAACTAAACAGCTAGAGGTTGGTAATATAAGTCAAGGCAATTAAGTGCTAGGATAGTAACAAAAGTGATGAGTTGTCACAAACAGTTGTTAAAAGAAGTTATGCAATAATAATATGAATATTTTGATGAGTGAGTTTTACTCAGGATGCACATAGAAACAAAGTAGATAATACGAAACTATGTAAGAGATCTAAGTGAATACAAGAATTATAAGCAACTAAGGAACAGGCAAAGAAACAAAGTTAAGTTATCAGAATAAAATAAAATAAAAATCAAAAAATCAAAACATTGTTACCATGAGAGTAGAAGTGGTTGAGTAATCTTCTTTTGTATGCACAGCTCCGGTTTTTCCATGTGAATGGCTAGAGCTTCAGCGATACAGAGGAGACGAAACCGTATTGCCTTTGACAGGTTGTTCTTGACTCTGTAGATTACTCTGAAGGAGGCGTTCGTTGAAATGCAATGATCAGTGCTGACCAGGTGTTCAATTATCGCACTCCTTATTGCACCAGTATTGCCTTTTCGCAACCATGCTGGATAGTGTTCTTGAATCCTCTTGGACAGGATGCGCGTCGAACGACCGATGTACCTGGCTCCACAGCAGCAGGTGAACTGGTATATGCACATAGAAGTGGCCAGATGCGGGATCTTGTCCTTGAGGCTTCTGCAGATTAGTGGGCGACTGGAGAACACTATTCTTAGCGTTGCTGCAAAGAATGTTCTTCTCAGAGATGATGTGATCCTTCTCTTGAGAATATCGCTTGCTAAATCTCCCTTGAAATCCAAGTTCATGTAGATTTTCTTTTTAGGCACAGTCAAAGTTTCGTTTTTCCGAATTATTGGTTTCATATTTTTGTCGATAAATCTTATTGGGTAACCATTCTGGATGAATATTTCTCTCAGAATATCTAATTCTGTTTCCACAACGTCGGGACTACAGATGCGTCGGATGCGGGAAGCAAGTGATTTAATTAAATTCCGCTTTTGTTGAATGGGCACCCAGCTATAGAAGCTTGTTAGTTGACCATTCCACGTAGGTTTTCTATGGATTGATCTTCTTAGGCTCCCATCAGCTCTTCTTGTCAGTTCCACATCAAGAAACGGAATTTTTGACTCGTTTTCCATTTCAAGAGTGAATTTTATTGCTGGATGGCAATCGTTAAATGTCTTCAGCAGTAGATTGGGGTCGTTGTTGTGGTCACAAATAATGAAAATGTCATCCACGTATCTTTTATACAGTTGCAAATTGTCGATACTTGACTTTAGTGAACCTCTCTCGAGGCTTGCCACGAAGCAGTCTGATAGTAGTGGACCCAACGGAGATCCCATTGCAATACCATCCTTTTGTCTGTAGATAGTGTCGTTGAATGTGAACTGGACGTTCAGAGTGCATCTCAATAATAATTCTTTCAAGTATGTTGTCGGTATTCCAATATCGATGTGGTTGTCATCTATATATCTGCATATGAAGCAGACCGTTTCTGTGAGTGGGACATTGGTGAAGAGTGACTCGATGTCGAAGGATAGCATAATTTGGTTAGATACATTCGTGTCTTGTATGCACTCGACGAACTGGAAGGTGTCACGGAGTGAGTGCGTACATAATTGCTTCCTTACAGGTTCCAGAATATCTGCTAGCCATTGTGCAATAGAGTGGTAAGGGGAACCTGACATATCCAGAATTGGGCGAAGTGGGAGACCAACCTTGTGTACCTTTGGTAGACCATAAAGTCTTGGTATTACTGAACCTGTTGGCCGGATCTGGTCGTAAATATCCCCACTAATTAGTTGACTGGCCTTCATTATCTTCAAGACGTCTGTGAGCTGCTTCTCAATCTGTTCCGTCTTGTTTCTTTCATTGGAAGCTTGGGAAAATTTGTCTTCATTCGACAGTATATCGTTCATTTTCTCGATGTAGTCTCTTCGATTCAGAAGCACTACACCAGCACCCTTGTCGGGCCGAGTTATAAGCAGATCTTTGTTATCTCTCAACTGTTTTAATTCCTCTCGGTGCCGTTTCGTCAGGTGGTTGCGGACTTTTGATTTTGTATTCAAGTATTGATGGCAGCAGTCCATTATTGTTGACTTGAATCTCTGTAATTCGTCTTCAGAAGTTGGGCTGAGATCGTGCGTTTGGCTGACTAGATTTGCGATTGTACAGCTAAGAAGATGAATTCGCCGAAAAGAGACTCTTCGCTGATCTACGTGTTTTGTTTTATTATTGTATTATCATTATTATTCCCATCATCCATATTTTATGATCACTGTACTACTGTTTATTAACAACATTGCGTTTTCATACAGATTTTATACAAAAAACACTTTATCGTCTTTCCACAAGTTTACGTTCATTCTACACGAGCTTATTGATTAGACATTACCTCACACTTATTACGTCATGTCAACTTCTACATCTTTTCTAACTTCCAATTAGTCAACCCCTCTAGGTTACACCTTACCTTATGTAATACATTTTTCGAGGACAAAGTTTACCAGTATCTGATTGGATGTCTAATGATTTCTTTGTTAAATATAATTACGTTTACTGTACAGCAGCTTATGAAAATGAATCGTCGAAAGGGGAAAATTTTTCTTCGCTGTTTACGCCCTTCTTCTTATGACACAATATGGGAATATTTCGTTCATTGAAGAAATCCAACGGATCCAAGATCTAACAAATCGATAGTGTGTGTGTGTTTGTGATCAGATCAAAAATATTTCTGATATTCACCAACCAACCACACAAACAGACAAACAAACAAAAAATAGACCTACCTTGTATAAATTCAAATGGCAAAATCCACCATGGATTGGTTATCCATGAAACATAAAGAAATCTCGACACATTCCCAACTAATCCCAAATATAAGACTTTCAAATGACCTGAAAAATATATGAAAAATAAAATTTACAGTTTACCTCTAAATAATCAAGTAAACATGTAACAGTAGAAGGCAAGACACAGAAGCTGATACCCTGGAAGAAGAACTACATTTCCCGAAAGAAATGTTCATACAATACGGACATCCACTGGAAATCATAGACAAAAAGAAGAAACAGAAAATCCAAAAGCAAGGGACGCCATCTGTGCCAAAAAGATACTTTAGATGAACCTCCGCTTCAAAGGTGACCGACTCAGTGCTGTCCTTAGGAGGAGAATCCCAACCTCTTTAAAAAGAACTTTCTTCGCGACAATACTGAGAGTAGTGTTCTCCAGTTGCCCGCTGATCTGCAGAAGCCCAAAGGACAAGATCTCGCAAATGACCACTTGTATATGTATATATCAGTTCATCTGTGGCTGTGGAGCCAGGTACATCGGTCGTTCGATGAGCATCCGGTCGAAAAGGGTCAAAGAACACTATCCAGCGTGTATGTGGAGAGGAGGTAGTGGCCATATAAGGAGTGCGATCATCAAAAATCTCGTCACCACTGGTCATTCCATCTCAACAAACGCCTTCTTCAAAATAATCTACAAAGTGAAGAAGAACCTGCCAAAGACAATACATTTCCGTCTTCTTTGCATTGCAGAAGCCATAGCCATTTAGTTGGAAGAACCAGAACTATGCATGCAAAGGAAAGTTATCCAGCCACTTCTACTGTCATGGTAACAACTCTGTTGATTTGACTTAACTTTTGCTTGTTTGCTTGTTTTTTCTAACTACTTAAAACTCCTTTCGTAATTCTGTATTTTATTTCGTTTCCATGTCCACCCTGAGCACAACTCTTTCATCAAACTATTCATGTTATTAGGTAACTCTTCTTTAGCAATCGTTTGTGACAACTCATCACTTTTGTTACTAACCCTCATATATCAACATTCAATTCCTCTGAACGCTTTTTGTACTACATGACTCCACGAAAAACTAACTAAGTGTATTTTCGTTTGACAAATTTAATGTACACACACACAAATACAAAATAATCGCATATATATTTACAATTGTACAGCTGTGAAAATGAATTCGTCAAAAAGAGACTCTTTCCTGAACTATTGGTCTTCTCTCTATTAATGTTGGAATGGGGAATTTTCATGATTTAATAAAGAATAAATTATACAATAAAAGGCCCAAATTCCAAATTACTAAAGATATAAATTAACATTGATGTAGTGATATTAGATGGTTGGAGGCAATCGACAGGATGCCCTACTTCACCTAGGTTTCTTGCTTGCTGGCAATCACCAGTCAGCAAGGCATATCTGCAACCTTGAAAGAACTCATCCCTTCTGATATTTGAAACCGTGTCACCCAGTACTGCAATCAGATACTCTACCACTGAGATATTCGGGCTCGCGATTGACCTCCTGCAAGACTGTATTGTATACTTTGATTGGACACTAGTAACTATTTATTTAACATCAACCCTTTTCTTATCTGTTTCATTTCATCACTTAGGCTTTTATTGTACCACTTAATGCTACTGATCGATTAATTAGACACTTTACAGATAACATAATCTTTGTTCATTAAATCTACACGTAACACATGCATTAAGAATGGCTCATCACTCATACGGGAATTACGGAAAATATTACTGCTAATCAAATCAAGAGATGAGAGATAGTAGAACCATATAAACGAAGTTAGAAAGTTGTGTGAGTACTGCCTTGATATGATTATGAGTGTCAATAAATCGTCCACGAAACGTAGTCATCAGTAAATATTACTGTATAACAAACACTGTAAGAATTTATCAAAATAAATTAATAATAATTTGCTTTATTCCAGAAACAGTACTAGTGGTACAGTGTGGAATTTTCAGCACATATCTACAATATTGCATCTAATTTTATCCAACGTTTAAAAGGAGTATTTTCAAAAACAAATAAATATAAAGACAACAACAGCAAAAAAAAAACAGGATAAACACAAAATAATATTTTTAATGCGAAAAAATACCAAGAAGTAGAAAGGAAAATAAACAGCATATAATAATAACTCAGTATTGGGTAGTGGAAGCTATGATATGATTATGCATGGTGACAGTAAAGATATAGTCATACCAGAAGTTATGAAATGATATTTAAGAATGTTTATCGCCAAGATGGTCAGTTAATGTGGTTGAAACAACTCTAAACAATCATAAAATAACATTTCAGGGTTGTTGTTTTGTTTTGTTTTTATTGTCAGGTCTAATGTAGTGTTTGTAGTGGTAGTGTGAGTAATCCTGTATAATACAAAATTTTAAGGTGGTGACTATGGCGTTCACAACCAATGATTGTCAGTTGATATTGCCGAAAAAAAATAAAAAATAAGAAAAAACAACCACAAAATCTAATAATTGCATGATGGTTAATGACAGGACAATTTTGTTCTACTCATAGTGCTAATATAGTCGGAACCAGTAGATACATAAAATAAGGAATACATATCCATAACGGAATAATGCTGTACCACAGTGTACAACTTCTATTCGAATATCATCATTTCATTTCTGCTTGTGGTGCTGTGATATAGACAATGTGTTTCAACGGAATATTATTCTCACATATTTCCATAGTTCAATACTGCAGTTGCAACAGGATACTATATGAATATTTGAACATTCTTTTTGCTGTTAGAGATAGAGTACTTTTCTCCTAGTTCAGTACTGCATATTTTTAAAATTCCTTTACCTTCCCATTGGAACATAGGGCTACAAGATAGGAGCTTGAAGTTTCGATGGCAGTGGTATTTATTTTTACGGGATGCGGTTGCTAGTCTAATGCCTAACCTTCCCTCTTCACAAGTCTTATTACTGGCCTGGTGAGGTAAGGGAGTGTGTCGGTGTCCGGGGACCGAACCCCGGACCACCTGCAAACATGGTCGACGAGCATTTTACCGCTGTTCCACCGACGCACCCAATACTGCATTAGAAACAGAATACAATATGTGTAACTGAACATTCTATTTCATGTCTTTAAATTTAAACCCAAATCATACACTCAGTGAATGGTTAAAGAATATAAACTGTATAGATATAAATAGCGATTTGATCACTTGAAAATATACTTTGGCTTCTGTGTCTTGACTTCTGCTGTTACACCTGCTGTCTCTGCCTTCCGACAAATGGAAAGCCTATACTCTTCAGTTTTCGTAGAAGGAAACATATTGATCTTCTGGCAGGACTTCGAGGCTGTTGAGCAGTTGAATGGCTTTCAAGATCTATCAGTGAAGAGGTTGTTACTTGGAGTGCTGCTGCAAGGTCCTGTGAAGTATGCAAATGATAGTGTGAAGAGAAACACTGGCGAATGCACTCCAGTGTCATATAAACTGTTCCCAAAGTGGGACGGACCACACACGGTCACTGTGAGACGGTGTTACGTATGTACGATCAGAAGTGCAAACCAGAGAATCGGGTGAATATCAGTGAGCTCCACAAGTGGATACAGCAGGAGAAGCAAACAAAGTCGCCAGCACCGAAAAGATAGGACCAATTCCATTGTGGGCAAAATTTATTTTGATAAAGTCTCACAGTGTTTGTTATACAGTAATATTTAGTGATGACGACGTTTCTAGCTCAATTTATTACTCATAATCACATCAAGGTACTCACACAACTTTGTAACTGCGTTTATATAGTTCCATTATTTTCCATCTCTTGATTTGATTAGTAGTAGTAGTATTTTCCATAATTTCCGGTATGAGTGATCAGTCATTCTGACAGAATAATTGCCCTCTTAGATGTCTTAGTGAAGAGAACGGAAACAAGAAATCGACGAACACAAGTATACAAAAGATCAACACACAGACAGACCTTATACTCAACTATAACAGCAATAATCGAATGACACACAATAGGAAATGTTTAAACATTACTCAAAAAGGTTAATACACATAGTAACAATCATGTCTTGCAAAGAATGTTTACTGTTTTCCGGAAGAATGGATACCCCTCCCCCAATACAATTTCATTAAAACATTTTAAAATCAAATCAAAATACCAGGAAGGAAATATCCTCAAAAAACCGGAAAAGAAAATTCATCCTTACTATCAGTCAAAATTTATGGAAATTATACTTCCATTCATTTTTCTAAAACACTGAACATATATATACTAGATTTTATTTAAACCTATTCTTAAGATTCATTTCCAATATCCATTGAAACATTTAGCTAAGCATGCCTTTTTCAAAAACTAAAAGTCTTACTCGTTGTTTTAACGAATCAACTTGTACATTTAGTGTAATTGAAGGGAATTTTAGTTTATCTCTCCCTGAGGCAAGAATAAACAACTTTATAGAGAGGTAGACTGACATATCAGTGGATAGACAGACACGTAGACTACTTGAGTACACAAGTTAGACAGTGTTTCAGCCTAGGATTATATCTGAAATCGATAATAACTAAAAAGATGTAACATTTCCCATTAGTGTTATCTTTATTTTAAATCATCGTTTTCTCATAGTTTAAATGGGGAAATATATTTAAATAGGGCAGTATAAGTATACTGAAAAATTTATCCCTCAATGAAGGGGTTGTTGATCTTATCTAGTTGTATAAAAATGATTTTGTTTTCTGATAATCTTTCTGGGAAAAAAATTTCCTCAATGGAATTTGAACAAAGCAGATTATCGTAGATGAAACAAGTATATATATATATATATACTGGAATTTCAGTTGGACTCGGACATTTTGCGGGTTGAGGGTGCTAGCCTCACGTCCCATCTTCCCTCTTTTCAGGGCTTGTTACCGGCTAGGCGGGGTTTAGGGGTGCGTCCGTCAGGGATTGAATTCAGACCATTTTCGTGGTTGGCGGGTAGTCTACCCCTGAATCACTGACACACTAGATCTTTAATACTCACATAAACCCACTAATATCATGCGCACAGATATTCCTTCATCCGAAGAATCAAAATCGTTCATTACCCAATAGTTTTCGGAACAACCTTTCTTATTTTTAATTTGTGGATGGTGACTAGCAGTGGAATCCACCAGGATGCGCATTTCGTCCTATTTGGGACTCGTCAGCTAACTGGATGTGCCTGCATTCCCCAGTGAGTGATGATGTTCCCACCGAGACTCGAACCCAATGCCATTAGTTTCAAAAGCCAGAGCGTTATCCACTAGACCACTTAGGCCACGAGAGCCACCTCTTGTGCAACGGGTCATATTGATTTAATTGAATTTTAGATTCTCCCGTCGATTAATTGGACCGAAGTGCTCAGTCTCAAGAGATGGATCTTGTGGCCTAAGTGCTCTAGTGGATAACGCTTTGGCGTTTCAAACAATGGGCACTGGGTTCGGGCCTCGGTGGGAAAATCATCATTCACTGGGAAATGCAGGTGCATCCAAATGACGAGTCCCAAATAGGACAGAATGCGCATCGTGGTGGATTCCACTGCTAGTCACCATCCACAAATTAAATTCTAATTAAATGCCCAGACATCGTCGAAGCATCTGCCCAAGAAGCCAACATGTCAACCTGAGACCGAGCACTTCGGTCCAATCAATCGACAGGAAAATCTCAAATTCAATTAAACCTTCCTTATACTTTGGGTTTAACTATTTTATATAATTTACTTTAGATGTGTATTCGTTCTGAGTGATGGCGTAGGATTTGCGAAAATTATTATTTCTGTAATAGAAGAGAGATACTAAGTAGGGGCTCTTGTAGCCCAAGTAGGCCAAGATAAACTTTAAGTACCACTAACTACCAATAGAGTGCGACCGCACCGATGACCTTGAAACGCTCAGTGAGCAAGTTAGTGAAACCTGGCAAGTAATTTTGTCATCATTAATAAAATATGCTCATCGAAGTGTTATGTTAGTAAATGGGATTTCTGGTAAGTTTCAGGTTAGGTTCGGGAAAGATTAAGTTACGCTTTAAGCTAAGGACAAGTTAGGGTTAGGTTAACCTAATAAAGGCGACATTAGAGTTGGTTCGAGTTAGATTACAGTTAGTTTAGGGATATTTTCACGTTTGGATTAGGTTTAGGAAAGATAAAGGTTATTGTTAGGGTTAGAAGACCTAAATAATTACATGCATAGAATGTGGTTAAATTACTCTGTTGATATAAGAATAAAACTTGTGCACTGTGGTGGCAGAGTATAATTCCATTGTGAGGAAAAATTTATTCTGATAAAGTCTCACAGTGGTATACAGTAATATTCACTGATGACGATGTTTCAAGCACAGTTTATTGCCCAGTAAATGTTACTGAATAACACTGTGAGACTTTATCAAAATAAATTTTACCCACAATGAAATTATACTCTGTTGATACTCCAACCCAAAACTAAGAGCTATTTTTATCACATGTGAGAGAAGGGTCTCCTCTGTAACACTTTCCTACAGTTTTTATGCATTTTTTTCATAAATATATGGATTCCATACACATTGGTGCGTTCGAGGTCATTCTCTGATCGGTAGTTTGTGGTACTTAAAGTGTAACTTTGCCCCCAAGTGGTCTAGTGACTAATGCTCTGGCGTTTGAAACTAACAATACTGAGTTATATTCTCATGGGGAACATCATCACTTGCTGCATAATGAAGAAAAATCCAGACGATGAGTCCAAAACGGGACGAATTCAACATATAATATACTGGATAATAAAAAAATTACAAAACTTACCAATTTTATCAATAATTTGTTTACTGAACTGATACATGAATATCTCTGAAACATGATTTATCACTGATGCAATACCGAATAGAGTTGGTGATCCATTCAACTCTTGCATATGCCAAAATAGAAAAGTAAATACCTGCCCTAAACCCAAACCCATAAACCAAATAACAAAGAGAAACAGTAACAATCGAGGTTGACGAAATTGTTTCAAGGCGTGGAACCATCTTGTTACCTAGAGATAGAAAAAGTAAAATAAAACGATTTATATATATACGTTGAATAAACGGCATAAATTTATCCAACAGGAAAGGTTATTGCATAAAAAACGACGTTTTAGGTGAAATAAGGCCTAACTTAACCGCACTTCTAAGTTTCGTCTTCAGAAATGGAATACAGGCGGTCAGAATATGAGACAACACCTTTTCAATGGAGGTTTCGTTACAAGCCTAGATTGGTTGAAGAACCGTCGAAAGCGATGGATCACTAGAGAGCTGTTTCGTTCCTTTTTGATACTCTTCATCAGTGTGCACCCAATGAGTGCAATTCAGTACCTTCATGTTACTAGGTGGGCGTGCTGATCATTCAGCCACTGTGCAGGAATCCGCTGGCTCGTGAACTCTGCCTTATGTCAGTTAGCCTGTGGTGAAAGCTGTCTGCTAGCCAAAATAGGGAGATAGCAATTTACGTCAATGCTTACGTCCCGAATTGAGGTCATGAGAAAAAAACAAGAACAAAGCCTAACTTTGAGGAACTCAACTACCAATCACAGCAGACTTAGTTTTTGCAAATACAATTTGCAAATTTTTAGATAACTTTGTAAGCAACGGTCACAAGCAGTACAGAATAACCTTCAGCGAGAAAACAACCAATCAGAAGACGATGTTTCTCTGCTAACAATAACGAATAATAATGTACATAAAAATCTATAAATATCTGTTGATTTTCTCAATAAACGATCTGTTGCCTGACCCTTGTCTTCTGTCGTTACAAGCCTACGTTATTGTATAGCTTTGGCTTTATATCATGAAATGATGTGAGTTAGGATTCATGGGTTAATGGAATCGGAGTGAAGAGTTTCGCTTTCGATCCCAAGTGTTGTTATAGACACGTACTACTGAAAAGTCCTAAAGTGGAACAAAGTAGTCATCTGCTGCTCCTTAGTTTTCGATGGATATCGACCAGTAACTAAATCTACTTTGAAGTCACTGATATCCCTACAAATCAAACATTTGAAAAGTAGCGAGGTCTGTTGACTTTCTCAGGATCTCAAAGAGTAAGACAATATGTACTGGTTAATGATACTTGAAAAATAGTCGTCTATAGAAGTGAAGAACTGATATTGTAACGACAGAAGCACAAGGGCCAGGCAACAGATATTTGTAGATTTTTATGCACATTATCATTAGCGTTATTGTTAGCTGAGAAACAACGTCTCCTGATTGGTTGTTTTCTTGCTCAAGGTTATTCTGTCATCTCTTTATGGCCGTTTCTTAGACAACCCGGTCTGCGGATCGTATCTGCCCACGTGAAGTCTGCTGTGATTGGTTGTTGAGTTCCTCAGGGTTAAGCTTTGTTCTTGTTTTCCCTCTTGATCCCGAATTGGGACGTAAACATTGACGTAGATTGTTGTTTACAATTTTGACTTGCATACACCTCTCACCACAATATTACTGAAAGAAACTGTGTACAAGACTATCAGTATGCTATTGTTTAGTAATCGGTCTCCTGATATTCTAAAATCATCAGATATAGTGACAGGTGTGAATGTGTCCAACTCTGTTGGCTAGCAGTCAAATAATCCATGATCTCCTGCTTCCATTAAACTCATGTTATTATGGCTAAGTACTTTTGAAGCGTCAGATAAGAAACTAAATAGCTGTCTAGCGAAGTTTGGTTAGTGCTTAATTGATGGCAGGAGTGTCCCGAACTCTTATAAAACACCACTCACAACCTATGTGGTGACGTCAAATACCAAGTGATTCACAATGGAAAACTCAGTGAATTCTTTGAAGGGAAAACTGGAGTCAGACAAGGCTACCTACTGTCACCGATGATATTCTCGACTGTGGACGAATGTTTCATGCGACAGACTGTAGGCAGGGAAATGACTAGAATACTGTGCGCAGATAAGAAAACTTTAGAGGATCTGGATTTTGCAGATGATTTGTGTCTAATGTTACACAAACTCAAAGATCTGCAGGTGAGAACCTACAAGTTGGCAGGCAAGGCTCTCATGTGAGACAGGACTTCAAGTCAATATACAAAAAACAGAGGTGATGAAGATAGCCGACCAATAACGACAAGCATCAATCACTATTAACGGAAGAAATCTGGACGAGGTCACTTCTTTCATTGCTTCAATTACAGGTAGGAGGGATGAGGAAGACAAAGCAGCTCACGACTGGAAAAGCCAGACAAACCTTAATTACGCTGAAGTCAGGAGTCAGATCTTCAACACTAATGTCAGGCGAGTGCTTCTGTATGGTTCAGGGACTTGATGAGTGAGTCATCAGAAACATTTCCAACAGGCCACTGCAGACTTTCAACAACATCATGCATAAGGCTGTCAAATGGGATCCGAATCGGAAGCGATGGGTCGAGCAGCTGACGGTAACATGGAGAAAATCGTGTGAGGAGGAAATGAAAGTTTGTTGGAAGTCATAAAGTCAGCTGAAGTGGAGTGCAAAGAGGACAGTGTAATGGCAGTATACTGATGACGACTTATATTCCGCTCAGAACCCAACGTTATAATGACATTTACGGAATATACACATTGGATCATAGGAATTATTAAAAAGATGGTTGCAACGAAGAAAATTTTCTTTTCGACGAAATCATCAACTAGACTGTACATTCATGTATTTATGATAAATGGATAGGAAAGTTCCGGAATAACTGCCGGTCAAAGGTCAAATTAATAAAATTACAATTAGGAATTAAAATGCCATGATAGATAGGGGGACGGATAAAACTCAGACAAAGTAGCATCATAATTATTGGAAGGATTGAAATATTGTGCATTCGGGGGTTAGAAATGTAGAAATAACAAAATTAGACAGGATGTTCCACATTTTTTGCAGGGATTTTGTTTGATTGGTTGGAGGATTTCATCATGAGCTGACCTTGGTCCTGGGTTCGAGCCCCTGTGGGTGCGTAGTGCTGAAGCGCCCCAAACTAGGCAGACGAAACAACTGTCCAGTACTCCCGGGGGGTTTTCAAATAGTTCTCTAACTGATATCAGCTCATGATGAAATCCTGCAACCAATCAAATTTTTAATAATCATTCAAAGAACACGTCATGAAGTAAAAAATAAAGGTAATTTTGTTTCTTAGGGGTGAAAATTAGTCCTGCACAAATTTGTGCCACTTGTACAGAGGAAGATTGACAGAGAAGGAAACACAATAAAGTAGCAAGGGGTGGGAATTGAATAATGCACTTCGTTAAATAAGAACCACGCTAAAAATACGTATCTTATTAGTAGTAATGCTTTCCCAATTGTTTGTTGAGAACTGTTTTTCGAAAGCCCCAATATATTTTTCATTTTAGACAAGTTTCTACACTCTCTCGTTTATGTATTGGAGAATAGTATGTACAGTTGTATAAGGTGCTTACAACACTCCTTTCTATCTCTGTGTAAAGAGTGATCTCCCTCTCAGATATTCACTATTTCAAAGGCTAATTTCTGATGTGAATGTAGTGGAGAGATATTATCAAAACTTTTTTCATCGTACATCAATATTTTTGATGCTACTGCTACAGACAGATAGACAGAGCTATGAAGGTGCCTAATCTGATGTTTCTACGATGTGTACGACACTTTGTTCAATATAGTCCACACCAGTGTTTTAAATGAAAATTATTGAGTTTGAATTTAAATAAAGTCTTCGAATTGTGACTGCTTTTACTTTGTATCTTATGTCTTCTGACATCCCCGTGTGAAAAAGGGAATGCAGTGAAACACACCTCATTCTCATAATTTTATTTACATTCGTCTTTTCAGGAGTATCTTTCCTGAAGGATTTTTCGAATGGCGCTGAATGTCCTGAATTGACCAGATTTTCTATCACTGGATTATATACACGTTTTCGTTCTCCTTTCACTAGCCAGGCTGGATAGTGTTCATGAGCGCGTTTTTCAAGTTGGCGCATGGTACGGCCGATGTACTCAGCTCTGCAAGACCAAATAAACTGGTATATGCACGTTGAAGTGGCCCAATGCGCCGGCTTGTCTTTTGCGTTCTGGTTCAACAGTTTCTTGCAGGAAAACGTTAGTCGTAGGCTCACGGCGAAGTATGTTTTCCTCAGAGATTTGCAGAGGTGTTTACGAGGGATTTATGCTTCAGTGTCACCTTTGAATTCTAAATTGAGCAGAAGTATCTTCTTTTGGATGGATTGGACTTGTTCGGAAGTCTTCTTTGTTTTGAGATTCTTGTTTATAAATCTGGGCGGAAAGCCATTTTCCACCAGGGTTCTTGAGAGATTGCGCAGTTCTTCATCAATCACTTCCTCACTGTATATCTTCCGAATCCTCGAGGAAAGAGTGTATATAAGATTCCTCTTTATGCTCAGGGGCACGAAGCTTTGGAAGTTGATGAATTGTCCATTCCATGTAGGCTTTGTGTGCATGGACCATTTCAGAGAGTTGTTAGCGTTTCTTTTCAGATGGACGTCGAGGAAGTGGAACACTCCGTCGGATTCAACTTCAAGAGTGAAGTCGATGTTTTGGTGTACATTGCTGAAGGTTTGAAGTAAGTTTTCAAGGTCCCGGTTATCATCACAAATGATGAGAGTATCATCAATGTATATCTCTTGTAAAGATGGAGGTCAGTGATCGCCGATGACAAGAAATTGTTTTCTAGGCTGGCCATAAAACAGTTAGCCAAGAGGAGTCCCAGTGGAGAGCCCATTGCTACGCCATCATTTGCCTTCTCTGACATCAAATCTGTCTCCCTACTATTTGATGTTTTTATGTCAATGAACTTCTGTATGTATATATATTACTGATAAATTTTATCAGTAGCATACGCCACACCATTACTTCGTTTAATGACTTCAAGAATAACTTTTCTTTCTGAGAATCTCAAATATTTTCTAGCCTTATATTTCTCAGGGTTTGTTATATGACTTGCAGTGAAATTACGAACGTAAATACAATGCTTTATACAAATATACAGGCCGTGACCAGTAGGGTACTGCAGGCTGAAGATGAGACAGTAACTCATCGAAGAAGACATTGCGCAGAGTGGTCGCGCTACACCGTGAATTGGCAGAAGTTAGAATTCAACGACCATTGGATCGGGTCCCAGTGGCTCAATGGTCTACGAGCTCGTCTTGTAACCAGAAGGTCCTGGGTTCGAATCCTGGTGGGTGCGTACTGATGAAGAGTCCCGAACTAGGACGAAACAGACGTTCAGTACTCCCAGGTTTTCCAGTGGTTCTCTAACTGATGTCAGCTCATGATTAAATCCTCCATGCAACCAAACAAAATCCCTACAAAACCAATACTTGAAAATATACAAATAATTCACTTACCTTTAATTGTGCAGCAGCTGCCAGCTCCTCTTGTCTTGTATCAACTGAATTTTGATTTTTAATCGCATCACCACCGTCTTTACGATCAAATTTTATACCGAGTTGTTGTTCCAGTATCTCTTCATTACTCTGTTTACTTGGTTTCGCTCCACTAACAAATGTAGCCTTTTCAAATTCGCTAGACATTTCACTTGTCGGTTTCCAATCTTTACCAGTACCACCTGTCGCGGTAACCGCTGGTTCACCATCTTCTTCATCCTCATTCACTAACTTTGAACGATTTTTAGTTTGTCTACCCAAAAATGTTTTCGCCATCTTGTCTTTCACTAGTTTAAAGTACATACTTTCTGAATCACCTTCATATTGAAAAGTGAACTGGGTGGCAATGAACAGTGCACAGGCAATAAATACTGAATATGTAGCAAAACAGACCATGTAATTCTTCTCACGATAACCAGGATGTAAGCATGGATAGTCTGGAAAGCTTGTAGAATGATCCAGTGTTAAACCGATAAAAAACATTGACAGTGCCCAACCAAGTGAACCGAATATCCGTTGTCTTTCATAACTATTGCATACTTCAGTGACGCCTTGTTGTACTACAGCCGCGTCGACTATAGGGATAGCAGCACATGACATAATCTCACCAAATATCAGTAGTAATAAGATGACAATAAAAATTTGATTAATTTTTGTCTGGCTGTAGACGACAGTTGAATAAAGCGGCATAACAAGACTACCAGGTGGATATTGTGTTGGATCATGATAGGCTTGTGTTCTTGCATACAGATTTTGATCGCCTGTCTGTTGGCCAACACCACTACCCCAACGTGTAGCTTTCATTTTTGGTGGAGAGACTAACAGCTTTGTATTTAAATAAAGTGGCGATTGTCCCAATTGGTTACGTATCTTCAGCGCTAAATCTCTATCCATATCAACCGATTTGATATCATCGTATCTTGATGCTTTATAGGGTTGAATAATACTCAGAATTAATCCATCTTCACCATCATCGCTGTTTACCCGTGTTGCATTGTATCGTGCTGCTGATGACCTCGGTAGACTGACCAAACAACCTTCTGGTGTTGGACGTACAAATCCTAAGCCAAGTGTAAATGCCATAGCACAAACTAAACTGACAAGGACAAACATTTTACCCTTTTTCCATTTATCAGCTAATGCAATCCAAAATGGGACAGCGAAACATTCACACAGTGCACGTGTTCCACTTAATATCCCACATTGTAAAGCATTTAAACCGAGTTGTTTAAAATAAATTGATATCAGGGGGAATAGGGAACCAAATGCAGCATAATAGGCAAAGTAGAACAGTTGGAAGATTAATAATGATCGATCAAAGTAGGAACGAAACCATTCCATGAAATGTTTTCTTGATGTAAATATTGAAGCAATATTTGGAGCTTCTTGTCCAGTTGTATATTGAGTATCGATCGGAGTGAATTCATTCTTGTTCATTTTTGTGTGTGTTAACTAAAAGAAAAAACAATTGTAGAAAATCAAAATTAGCTGTGTTGTAAGTAAAAATTATTGTTATTACTCTTATTTTCGACTGGGCACTATTCGCTAACTAGTTTCATGTGTGTAGTCCTTTTGTTTGACCTGGCCATCGAGAGTAGAAGACATGAAAAGCCTGACTGGCTGGCTAACTATCTTTGATCAAAGGTGCCTGCGTTCTATCTCGCGTGTGAAGTGGTAGGTGTAATAGGGTGAGCAGTACTGAGGTAAGGCGTCGGTTGAGTGCTAGGTAAGGAGGAGGGGAAATCAATCAACAAGGCTGTGAAGCTACATCGACTGAGATGGTTAGGACATGTGTTACGCATGCGTAGTCATCGCCTTCCTCGACAGGCAATGCTAGCTGACATAGGGTCAGGTTGGAAAAGAGCTAGTGAGTGGTGGTTAAACCAAAACATGGCACCAGTCAATGAAATCCACAACAGTTATTTTAAGCTAGTCACGTAGGAAGGTGTAGACTTCCTGGGTGGGGTCCTCGGGACGGTAAAACCAATGGTTGGAAACAATCGGTAATATGGCTCAAAATCGTTCTCAGTGGCCAGTGCAGATGCATCCACTCCTTGTAACTTATAATACCCAATGAAACTATATTATTCTTCGTTATTACTATTTCTTTGTCTTATAACCCTGTTTACTGTCTCTATTTTATATTTCTTCTACTTTCTTCTCTTGCTTTGTGTGGTACATGGAGGGAGTGTAGCGACTTGAACTGCTGCACATCGGTGCAAAGTTCTATGTTGAAAACAGGCAGACAGTCTTTTGTTTACTGTAGACCGAATTCTATCAGTCAAGTTTACTGGCCACCATGCCACTAGGTGGCTCGCCATCACAGTACACTCAGGATTGTTGTTATTAGATGGTGGGAGGCAGTCGACAGAAGGCCTTGGATCTAGGTTTCGTGCTAGTTGGCACTCATCAGCAAGGCTTATGTACGGAAACATGATGGTAGTTAGTGTCCAATCAAAGTATCCAATACATTCCTACAGGAGGTCAATCGTGAGCTTGAATCGCTCAGTAGTTCCTTCAAGATTGCAGATGTGCCTTGCTGGCTGGTATATGCCAACAAGCACAAAACCTAGGTCCAAGGCCTCCTGCTGATTACCTTCAACCATCTATTAATATTAATACTAAAACACAAGCTTGGTTAATTATGGAAAGCAACAGATGCGCCGCACAAAGTCAAATAGTTTGTGTAAGGGTTGAGATATTGCCCAGACACCTAAATCAAGGCAGTTGGTTGTCTTAAGGGACCACCTCCCAAGCCTTTGATATGAAGCCTGATCCACAAAGCAGTGAAACAACGTTAGGAGTTATGCTCCAATGGTTTCCAGTGTCCAAAACAGGTTCATGTGCTATTCAATCCATTCAGATTCTGGGTCCCATATTTACCATAGGTTTGGGATTAGGGGTTTCCGGCTCTCTTGGGTAGATAATTATTTCCATCAGCCCAGTTTCAAGGGCCGTTTCCGGCTCTCTTAGGTAGATGTGTATTTCCACCAGCCCAGTTCCAAGGGCCACTGGACGTTCGTATTCGCCTTTTTACTTTTGTGAGGAACATCTTCGCCAAGTGGAGGCAGTGGATAGGATTTATTTGGCAGAGGTAGGCTATGAATGCGTGGTCGTATGAGAGTATTTCGAGATGGTCATAGGATGACCCTTTCAACAGTTTCGGAAATGGTAATAAAATAGCCAGTTAGAAAAGTTATGCACGAGGGAAAACTGGAAGATCACAAGATAGACAGGAGGACTATTGTGATAGGAAACAGTTCAGAAAAGCAGGGACTTGGATTTGCTGGTAGCTAGCGAAGGTTTAGGGGGTGTATCAACCACGAATTGAAGACAAACCACCTGAGTGGTTGGCAAACATTCTACCAATGAACAACCAACGTGCAACCTGTTTACTACGCGATACTTTTTCTATACTACTTATGTCTTCTTTTTCGTAAGTTTTATAGTAAAATTTAATTCGTAGTCAAGAGAATCAACTTAAACTCCTACTGTCTTTCAGTAGATTATAAGAATATCAGTAGTAAATTGCTTAGTTACGAGATAGTGCACAAGAATGTGTCGCGTGTTTAGCACAGATTAAGGTCCGTCTGATGATGACAGTACAATACACTATATTTTTGTCAATAGATGTTGGAAAATCATCAATAGAAAGCTTTTTCAAGTATAGATTTGTAGGAATTTGACTGATTGATTACAGGATTTCATCATGAGGTGACATCGGTTAGAAGACAATTGGAAAACCAAAGGGGAGTACTGTCAGATAGCTTTTTCGTCCCACTGGCTTGGAACTGGCTCTTCATCAGTACGCAACCACTGCAAACATTCGAACTCAGGACCTTCTGATTACAAGGCGGGCCAGCTCGTAGGCCATTAGGTCATTGGGACTCGATCCAATGACCAGTCGCCCATGAATTACAACTTCTGCCGATTCACGACATAAAGCAACCTCTAGCCAACGTCATCTTTGGTGAGTATCTGTTCTCACATCCGACCTGTTACGCCCTACTGGTCACAACTTTCCACTAGAACCTCAGGTAACTATCTACCTGAATAGGACCAGTTGCCAGTGAACATCTCATTGATATTCAAGTATTGGTTTCTATTTTGGAGGGATTTCATTGATTCATTACAGGTTTTCCTCTGGTTTCTGGATTTCGACTAATGAAGATCTGATACACTAATATACTCTTATATTTGTTGATGATATATTTGTTGAATACACTTAAAAGCTAGTTGTCTATAATATCAGACGAAATGGGACATATCCATGGTTTGGTTTTCATGTTCAGTAAAACTAATTAGGGCGTAGAATAGGATGAATTCAAAATGAATTTTGTTTAAAGTTCATTTATGATGTTATACAGGACAAAATGTGTTGACAAATTAAAGATATTTTTGTCACACCTATAAAACGATAAGTTATGTAGCTTGGAAATGGTCTCAATTGTCATCAACGATACTTGAATTGAACGCTATACTTTTGGATTCTTTTAAGTTGAGTTTAAGTGAGTTAAGTCAACTATATAGGTCAAACTAGTAGATCAAGAGTAGTGAGATTATCAGAACAGAAGAATTTAGCTAAGGTTAGAATGATTGATCCCACCAATGAAGATAAGTAATTTAGAAAAGAGGTCAGTAGTTGCACTGCATGCATTAACACACAACCACACAATAAGGTGGGTGGGACAGAGTCAAAATTATAAGAAGTAATGCAGGTAGTTGGAGAGAGAGATGTTGATTACTGAATCCTGTCTGGTTCGTCGGGTCTACACTCAACACATGCAACAGAAATGATTCAATGCAAATACCAGAGATATGTATGGAAGATATTATGACCACCAGTTAAATCAGAGGATAATAAATAATGTTAAAATGTATTCAGTTCACATTCTAACAAGCTAATTATTTATTTTACTATAAAAACATCTTGTTTCCCATCTTATTATATTGTATTTGATTGATAACACTAATATTATTATTTCCGAATGTACTTTGTCATCTTATATTGATTTTATTAAATCAAATGTCTAATCGCATCAATGTTTACTCATGTATATAAATGAAGCAAGAAAGTTGTGTGAGTGAGTGTCTTGATATGATTATGAGTGGCAATGATAAATTGTGCTGGAAACGTGGTGGCATCAGTAAATATTACTTACTGTATAACAAACACTGTGTGATTTATCAAAATAACAAATTTTTACCCAAAATGGAGTCACACTCTGCCACCATAGCGCCCAAGTTTTATCCTTATAAAGAATACATTTATCCGCAAGACTCTGAACTTGTTATTTTATTGTAAACAAGTTCAGAAACCACATAAAACGAGTCAGCAGACTGTTAATTTTATTAACCACAGTATTATTTACCAATTTAAGTAGTACAGCTCTGCTTTTCACTTCACTAAACTGAGCTATTAGTTCAAGAATATTGTGTGATCAACTGAAATTCTAGATTGTTAGCTTTAATTCTATCACCGGTATACTGACTTGTATAAGAGTCTTTAAGTTGCTCATGGGTTAATCAGAAAATGGTAGCTTTATTGTCTTTATTTCAGTCGATATGTTTATGTAGAAAGTTGTTATTAATAAAAGTACCAGGTACAAGGTAGATCTTTTCATTTAGAACTGGCTTATTACAAAAGAAATTTATCGAAATGATACGGCTCTTCCGTAGTTCAACGGTATAGTGTTCGTTAGATATGAGGAGGATCCGCGTATGACACCCGGCTAGCTTACTTCAAAACGTCGCGTAATTCACTAGCTATTAGTAAACTCAGAGAAGAGGAAACGTTGGGCGTGAGGCTAACAACGCTACTGCTAAGTGAAGCGTCACACCATAAAACTTTGAGGCATAAGTTCCACTTGGAACTCTAGGATTGAAACAAAAAAATGTGTTTGTGAATTTGGATTAAGATACCTGCTTGACAAACGTTCTGTGTTTCTCCAAGTTACAAATTTTTGCAGTTGGAGACAGAAAATAAAAATGCAAGATTTTATAGATGTTTTATGCTTTTCGAGATATAAATTTAATTTCAGGATTTCACCATGAACTAACATTGGTTAGAGGACCATTGGAAAACCTGGAAGTACTGTTCAGAAGTTTTGCCCTAGTCCAGGACTCTTCATCAGTGCGCACTCACTGAGGTTCTAGTGAGAAGTTGTGACCAATAGGGCACTGCAGGACGGGTGTGAGAACAAATACTCACCGCGGACGACATTGATTAGTGGTCGCGCCATATCGTGAATTGGCAGAAGTTGGAGATGATGACCTGGTCAGTGAATCGATTCCCAGTGGCTAAATGGTATACGAGCTTGCCTGGGTTCTAACCCTGACGGTGGGTGGGAAAGTACTGCCGATGATTCCCCAAAACCTAGGATGAAACAGCTATCCCGCAGTCCTTGGTTTTCACTGGTTCTCTAACTGATATCAATCCGTGATCAACTCGT